AAACTATACTCTTTTTCTACCTGCACATTTGAAGCCGTCTCCACTGTACCTATCAGTACTGTTACACACAAGTAACACAAGTACACAAAATGCTGACTTATTAGTTTCGAATATGACGGTAGTCCATTTAGAAACGTAATTTGTAGCACCAGGAGTCCATTTAGGTAACCATTATTACGTGAACATGACTCTACATACCTGTACAGTTGAAACCGTCTCCACTGTACCCATCTGTACAGTTACAGCTAAAAGACCCGTCCGTGTTGGTACAGGTGGCGTTGTCGTGACATGGAGAATTTAAACACTCATCAACATCTGTAAAAGCCAAAGAACTACAATCAATGGCCATGGTAAATTCCAAATCTCCAGATGTAACGAACGGCAAACCATTCGCAAACAAAACTTTCGATGCCTTTATTCCACAAGGAATGCATAAGTATGGCAGAATGTCTCCATTCACCTGTACAGTTGAAGCCATCTCCACTGTACCCTTCAGTACAGTTACAGCTAAAAGACCCGTCCGTGTTGGTACAGGTGGCGTTGTCGTGACATGGAGAATTTATACACTCATCGACATCTGTAAAAGCCAAAGAACTACAATCAAAGGCCATGTTTATGGTAAATTCCAAATCTCCAGGTGTAACGAACGACAAACCATTCGCCAACAAAACTTTCGATGCCTTTATTCCACAAGGAATGCATAATTATGGCAGAATGTCTCCACTCGCCTGTACAGTTGAAACCGTCGCCGATGTATCCACCAGTACAGTTACACACAAAAGCCCCGTCCGTGTTGGTACAGGTGGCGTTGTCGTGACATGGAGAGTTCAAACATTCATCGATATCTGTTGAGGTTGGACAATTTATATGTAAGAGCTGTATGTTTTTCTTACAATTGCGCTTTTAGCAAAGACCGATGTTTACAATCCATATCATCTTCAAAATATATGTTAGAAGTCTAACACACCTGTACAATTGAACCCATCTCCTGTGTATCCGACCGAACAGTTACAACTAAAAGACCCGTCCGTGTTGGTACAGGTGGCGTTGACATGACATGGAGAATTCACACATTCATCGACATCTGTTAAAGTAGGAGAAGATGCATGTGATTTCTAAGTATTAAATAATCAAACAGCAATGTGGTAGTTGAGGCATATGTTGTAGTTGAAGCATTTTAAAGTACTCTAAGAACCTTTGATTAGAATCTAACATACCTGTACAGTTGAACCCATTCCCTGTGTATCCGACCGAACAGTTACAACTAAAAGACCCGTCCGTATTGGTACAGGTGGCGTTGTCGTCACACGGAGACGGCATGCACTCATCAATATCTGTTAAGGTTGGAGAAGATATATAAGATCTTGATTTTTTTTTACAATTGCGCTAAAATTAATCCTGTAGTCAAAGCATCATCTTGTATAAAAGAGTAATATTCATAATTCAACATCTTAACACACCTGAGCAATTGAACCCATCTCCTGTGTATCCGACTGAACAGTCACAACTAAAAGACCCGTCGGTGTTGGTACAGGTGGCGTTGTCGTGACATGGAGAATTCAGACATTCGTCGATATCTGCAAAGAAAAGTACAAAATGCTGACATTACTTTTTGATATGACGATGGTCCATTCACAAACATTATTTGTAGCACCAGCTGCAGGAGTCCATTTAGGTAACCATTTATTAAGTCACCATGACTTTACATACCTGTACAGTTGAAGCCGTCTCCACTGTATCCACCAGCACAGTTACACACAAAGGACCCGTCCGTGTTGGTACAGGTGGCGTTGTCGTCACACGGAGAATTTATACATTCATCCACATCTGTTGAGGTAGTAGAACAGACATGAGACAGTGATGCTTTTCTTAGATTATTATGCTTGAAGTAATACTGTAGTCAAAGCATCATCTTGTATAAAAGGGCTATATTAATATTTCCAAATCTAACGAACCTGTACAGTTGAATCCATCTCCTGTGTATCCGACCGAACAATTGCAGCTAAAAGACCCGTCCGTGTTGGTACAGGTGGCGTTGTCGTGACATGGAGAATTTATACATTCATCGACATCTGTCAAGACAAATGCACAACATTGAAAATTAGTTTTCTAATTCAGATTATGAAAAATGATTATATATTACCAATGGATAATATCGTTTCTACTCATATATACAATGTCAGAATGTTTTACCTGTTTATTCAAATTGTGACACAACAATACTAGGTGTGCACTAGGCAGCGAGTACTAGTATGCTGATAGCGTGCACAACAAATACATGATTGTTTCTACATACCTGTACAATTAAAGCCGTCCCCATCATATCCAACATTACAGTCGCACACAAACGAACCGTCCGTGTTGGTGCATGTAGCATTATCGTGACACGGTAGGTTTAAGCATTCATCAACATCTATGGAAAATGCATAACAATGTCGTTGATACTCTTGGTTCACTCATTCATTGGGTATTACACAATAAAATTCTTATATTTTCACATGTGTAGGTCTTTCTAGTTAAGACTTACTTGAACTCAAAACAGTTCAGTGGTTAAAGGCATCCAATGCAATTTCAGGGTGACAAACTGAAAATATTCTGAATAAGGCAATCTGTACACATACTGCCCCACAATGGCACATTTGAATCAGTATTTCATACTTTAGGCAGATACAAGCCCCAAGATTAGTCATTTATTTTCTGGATGGCGCCCTAAAAATCAATCCAAGTCCTTCCAGTGACCGTTTTTCTTAAGAATTTTGGGCATTTTTGCTCCATGAAATTCAATGTTGATATTACATTGGGACAGTGTGGTGTTAACTAGTATGTAGATAAGTGACTAGAATATTGACTTTGAAGAATCTGGTTTCCAAGCCCTAGTTAAAAACTGCACTGGATGCCTTTAAAAGCAGACCTACCGACACAGTGAGTTCCGTTCCCAGTATATCCGGTATTGCAGGAGCATTCAAACCACAGGAAAGTGTCGTTACACGTGGCATTGGAGTGGCAATCGTGCACACCGATATCACACTGGTTGATTCCAGCCAGCAGTGCTAAAAGTAAAAGACAGTAAATATAACATCTTTAATTTGCAAATAACTAGAAGATGATAAATAATTGAGGATTAGGCAAATTGTACTTACCATGAAGGATAATCCCAATTATACCTCACACGAACTATTTGGGTATATCATTTACCTTATGCAGTATTTCCTATGCTTATCGCTAGGTGGCGCACGTGTACAAAGCTCTAATCGCAAAGCATCACGGGATATCATGACGTAATGACATTGTTCGCCGCCATTTGACGACGTGCGAGAAAGAGTCTGTGCTGTTCACCAAGGGTGGGCATTTTCAGCTACTTGGGAGCTGAAGAACAGCAAGGGTGGGAAGATATACCCAAATAGTTCGTGTGAGGTATAATTGGGATTATCCTTCATGGTAAGTACAATTTGCCTAATCCTCAATTATACCTGCACACTCCCTATTTAGGTATATCATTTACCTTATGCAGACTTCAGAGCCCGTGGACAGCACAGCCTGGCCAAACGTGTGTTGGTTGTTGTCCCTCCTGTAGTACTTCAGGAAGGTAGACTCTCGTGACCAGTCCGCTGCATTCATGATGCTATGTAGAGACACCCCAGCAGCTGTAGCAGCTGAAGTGGATGCTCCTCGAGTGGAATGAGCTGAGAAAGTTGCTGTGTCAACACCTGCCGTGTCTAACACTGACTTAACCCACCTGGCCAGGGTCGCAGAACCAACTGGCCTGTGTGGTCTGCTGAACGATATTGAACAACTTCTGCTCCCCCCCCCTTCTTTCCGAAGGGAAGAAGTCCGCCTTAGATATTCTTTCAGGTATGTGAAGGCACACAAGCGCCTGTCCTGCGGGAAGGCCGCCCAAAAACACTTTCTGGCAGGTTTCCCTGGTCTAGAAGTTTCAGCAGGGTAGGAATTGTCCAAGAAACACCGTTTCTACATTTTTTTCATGAATCTCAAGTCATGAGCCGCTAAAGTCTGACCTCTGTCGGCTGACACCAATGCCGCTAGTGTTACCAACTTATGAAACAGCTGTTTCAAACTAAGACTATTAGCTTGGCAACAATGCAGAAGGTACTCTAGGACCCGACTGACGTCCCATGTTGAAACATATCTTGGACAAGGAGGACGTTTGTGAAACAGACCTCTCATCAGTTTGGACACTAGAGGGTGACTACCCACATTACAATGGTCTACTGGTAAGTGTACAGACGAGATCGCAGAACGAGCCACCCCAATTGACATACAATGTATAGCCGTAGTTCTGTCGGAACATCAATTCAAGATATTCTACTACGCTCTCTATAGAGCCGCAAACTGGATCAATCTCCCTTCTATCACACCAGCTGGCCCACTGAGCCCATGCTGACTGATACTGTCTAGAAGTGCTTTCTCTCCAAGCCGAGAGGATGAGGTCTGAAGCCCCTGCCGAAAGGCCCCGACCCTGCAACTGTCGCCTGATCTTGGCCACGCGGCAAGCATCAGATCTGGCAACAGCGGATGGGGTCTCCTGTTGTGCGGCAGGAACAGCAGATCCCAGCTCTGTGGCAGGAGAACCGGACTCTCGAACAACATGTTCAACACCTTGGGGTACCAAGTCTGAGACTTCCAAACTGGAGGTATCAAAATCACTATTGCTACGTCTGACTGGACTTTCCTCAGTACCTTGAACACTAGGCTGAAGCGGGGAAAGGCATGCGCTAGCCCCAGGTTGCCTCAGTGAATGTTTAGGCCATCCACCGACATGACCTCTGGTTCTGGGTGCCAAGAGACATACTCCTTCAGCTGAGCGTTCATACGAGACGCAAACAGATCTACTGTCAATGCATTGCCTGTCCAATTGTTCAATGACAGGAAAAACTGAGCGGTTCA